AATTTCCTCCAGCCGGCCGCCAGTTAAAGATGGCTACCATATGCCAGCTATTCACACACATACACAGACAAGCTGAATGAGGAGCGCGGTCCGGCCAGAGTACAAGTTTACCGAAGCCAACCTCACGCATAAACAAACACTGTAAAATGCATAATGGGAGTCTACAGGGCTTGGCTAAAGAGAGGCTTGCTAAAATGTGAAGCGCATGAGAGTGACGACTTGAGTGAAGACAAAACCGGTAGATATGCCACAATGAGCGTGACGCAAACAGGCAGTGGGCAACGCGGACTCGATGTCCAGATGCATTCAGCTGGAAGGCTTTGAGCAAACGCAACTATGGAGTGAAAGCTGCCTGACGAAAAGCAAAATAAACATGTGACTTCACATGTTTGAATTTCCTATCTGTACTAAGGATTGATATATTATAGCTGTAACAACATCACATTTGACTCCTTTGCACAAATCCAGGAAGCCAGAAGTCACATACAAACAAGATGAACATGTCAACTAAGCAAAGTAGTTTCATTAAAATATAGAGCTGTGCCAAAAAAAATAAAAATAAAAATCACAATTTCAATGTTCAATCTTTATTATTATTTTTTCTAATTAATCAATTATTTGCTCAGTTCAGTGAATATAGGAAGTTTTATTGACCAGAAAAAAAGAGAACATGACCTGTAGCACATTGGGTCTTTTGATCAATAATACTTTTTCATTCTGCAGGTCACCATACAATTATTGCATTTCTATTTGAGGTTTTTTGAACTGCACGTAGACATGTTTTGTGTAAGCTTTAAATCATAAAGGGATTATTCAAATCAAAGGAAGATTGCTCACCCATAATCTGCACTTCAGTTAGCAGGTTCTCAATTATTTGAAAAAAATTGACATTGACTAAGAAAAAGTAGTCATGAGGGAGGCACACACTTCAACACAATTGAAAACCTTGATAATTTGTGAAAAATTATGAATACCTGACAAAACAGTCGTATTTCAGTTTTCAAGAAGCAGACTACAATGTCAATAAAGTCCAAATTACACTGACATTCAGAGGGACACATTTTATTTTTCAAGGCACTAATGTGAAAATATAATTATACGAGCTGTGGTCTACCTTAAACTTTCAAATTAGGATTACATAAGCAGTTAAACCCTTATTATGTGCTAAAAAGCAAATAATTGGGAACTGTAAGAGATTTAAACAAGCAGAAACGATGATTCAAGTGAGCTTTTAAACACACTGCAGCTGTGCATGTGCCAGGCCTGACCACAGCTTGTATCCAAATGTGCTGTGATGCCTTGTGTGTGCCTCGCAGATCCAGAAAATAGACTGGACAAAATGTGGTGGCTTCAAAAACAGAACAAGAAGGTCCAGTCAGACCGCGGCGCTAACCAGTGACCACATTCAGGTCCGGAGCAGTGTGTCCTCAAACTGTTGGCAAAGGAGAAATGTCAAGGAGCCGGTTTTGAAGTCCCACTGTCCACATTAATGGCGCGCCGAAATTACAAGCCACAGAAGGTCAGAAATGTAAGCAAACGCAAGAAATAGCAAAACATCAAACGTCTAAACAAATTGAGCGATAATGGCGAACAGTAAACAGTCTTTCTAAGGTAGCCACGCTCCTTTGTTGATGCTATAGTCTGCATTTGAAGTCAATCACCAAAAGTTGTACGGGATTAGTGGTTTAGTGGCTTCCAGGCCTCTCGAGAGCCCAAAGAGCCAAAAGGACCATGAACGAAGTGCCTCAGCAGATGTTGTCCTGGGAAATTTCGTCGTCTGGGTGGAACCGTTCTGGGCTATGGTCACTGTGAAAGCGCCCATAGAGACAAATGTATATTCTTAGATTATTAAATCTGGAGTAACATTTGTGGAAAAATCAGACCACAACATACCATCTTCACCTCATGAATTTTTTTTTAATCTTTTGCATATTTATGCAGGCATGGTTTATGCTTTTGGGATTGGCTGAGCAATAGTGGTCCTCTCTTTTTCACTGTTCAAAGCTGATCCAAAGATGCCACAGAGGCAAAAACATGGCTTGACATGCATGTGTGAAAACTAGTTATAGAACCTAACTAACAGAGATAGAAACAAGCTTTGAAAAGTCAGTTCACAACGTTTGCAAAATGTGTAAGTTCATAATGACACAAAACATCTATTTAAAGATTTTAAAAGGAACGTTTATTCTCATTTGGCTACAAGCAACCGCATTGTAAACATTCTTTTGTAAGGATATTTGTGCTTAACATCTGTACCAGAGCTGTTTGGATGGGGTTCAACTGCAGTCATCTGGAAATAGCACAACATAACGTTTGAAAAATTCCTTAAGTGTCTAGTAGAGATTTAGATGGACATCTGCCTGTGTCATTACTACTCAGGTTGTAATTTCTAATGCAGCAGAGAAGAATTTTAGGTGAATTTTACTTTTCCATGAATTATATATGTATATTGTACAAAATTGCATTAGCTGGGGCACTTAACTTTATGATTCAAAGCAGACAAGTGACCTCAAGATGTGACCAAAAATACATGCATTTTGATCCCAAAAGGTCAGTGAATATGGAATTTTGTACATGTTTTACCAAAACAAAGCCCATGTGATGCCCCTGGAATACATCTTCAGAGAGATGACATGGTACATATTGGGTTTCATTCTGCAGTCATTCAAGAGTAAAAAAGTCTATAAAAAGGGATAAATCTGTTACATAATTAGTGGACTTAAATAATTGGTTAGTTGTGATTAACCAATTAAAAAGGTCGTGCCCTAAAAATATGAAAGTAGGGCAATGTCATTCTCTTATACAGACAACTCATACATTCAACTTGACCTACGGCACATTGTGGACTCTTGTATAAGAGGTAGCAAATCTTTTGAGTTAGCACCCTTGATATAGTAGCCAGAAAAAGACGCACATCTGCACTGTATGAACCAATGACAGGCTTTTTAAACATCCACCCACTCTCCCACCCAAACACCCACCCACTTACTCACATCTGCTGTGCGTTATACAACAAGGCCTTACTCAGACACTGCCAAGGCCCTCATGAATACACATCTCTCCTGAGCAATCATTATGGACTTTGCTGAGCCAACCCATGAACAAAAAAGATTATATCCAGTTAGTTGTTCTTGTTTTGCCTATAATGCTCCACAGTATGCCATTGAGAAAGGTTTTCCCACAGAGACAAGCAAGTGAAATCACTGAGGGAAGATGCAAGTCAGATTTGACCAGTCAGAAGTGACCAGTTTTTTAAAGATCATTGCAGCCACCTGAAATCGAGAGAAATAATGTTATGGACTCATCTGTTTTTTTCTTGACAATCAGTGAAATAAAGAACCTCTGACGGAATTGTCTATGCAAAAAGGCCAGAAATTGAAATGCTGTAACATTCATTATTTCCATCTGTAAAAAGTGAACAAGTAAAGCCACAAAGAACACTGCATATAATCTGGTAAGTCATTGCTTCCATATTGAAATGCATGCACAGGCTTTCTGATGATGATATTTACAGCTAAACCACAGTCCTGGTCCGTAAGCCAGAAGGTAAGCCAAGCCAAAGCGCACTGCCCAGTTCTGCTCTGCCACTCGGGCCTGATGATCTGTTAGAAGTTATGACTTTGAGTTTGCATGAGCTGTATGAAGGCTTGACTGGCGCCATACCACTGCTGGGAGTGATTACAAAGACACGGTGCAGATAGCTGGAGATTACGGCTTCATGCAACACTGACGCAGACGAGAAGCTATAGAGGGCTGTATACATGAAAAATAACTTGACGATTGCATGTCAAGAGGCGCCCACTTACATGTCCTACAAATCCAAGGACATTTGGTGTGATTATACACTTGCAAACAATTTTGGCTCGTCTATTCGGGCGTCGCAGTAGCAATTATCCAGGGCTTATCTCTAATGTACAGTCTGAAAAAAAGATTGTATTCAAACCAGATGACATTTCTAAAGCAGCAGTCAATTGTGATTTACGCAGCTTTGGACTGTCAGAAAGAGGACTCTGTGATTGGAATATTAACCCTTAAGAATTGTTAGACCAACATTCCAATCTTTAGTTTGAAAAGCTCGCGTCAAGGCATGCCCTGGAATTTCCATAAGACTTGACAAAAAACAAAGGATAATACAATTACACAGAAACAAAAGACAAGCAAAATCCTCTCAGTGCTCTTAGATTGGTCTGATTTTCATGTGAAGAATGTCCTTTCCTTGAAGTATGACTTTATTTCAGTTTTTATGCTGATAAACAGGAATACATTCAAATGAGAAGATAATTTGTTTGCATGAGAAACATTTTAGATTTCAAAACCGTAAGTTCTTCAAAAGTAGAAATGATATTCATGACTACCAGATTTGTGTTTCAGAATATGTTCAAGAAGACACTGTTGAAGCTGGGGTGCTGATCTAACGTTGAAACTGTTTTGAAAGCTAGGGACTAGTTGTATGAATATCTTTTTTGTGGAGTTTTATCCTTAGCTTTCACATGCACAAAGTTTTGCATGTAGATCCAATAATTTCTATCAATATAACGACACTATGCTGTGATCAGAATCCTTTTATTGCCATGCGAGTAACAGGAAGTCACAAACTAGGGAATTGCTTTGGCTCACGTGTTCACAAAATGGTCCTTAAAACAAGACAAAAGTTAGGGACTGCAGCTTTAGAATGTAGTTTTATCATTCTGAAACCGATGGTGGCATCTGCTTTAGTTCTCATGTTGTCAAATTAGTGCACAGTGCAGACTGGTGCTTGCTAAAAATGTGAAGGGAAGAGGTTAAGGTTGCTCAAGAACCATGGAAAGAAACTGAAACCAAAGCTAATAGAAGTTCTCCAGGACAAAAGTATCTGTGTGAAAGTAAGATAAGTATGTAGTAGCTTTGACTTGAGATGCTTGTTTTGGTCGCTGCACAAGAAAAGAGACTTGTCTACAGCTGATGTCAATGTGCCTTTGAAGCTGAACCTTACACAACCTTCAACATAGTAAACAGGCCATATGTTCTGGTCACAACACGAGAAACCCACGCACCACATGTCCCGTACACTGGCTGCACTAACACAGACTGAAGAGGCCCCGCCCCCACGCACACAGGCCACGCCCACACACAACTCCCGACACGACCCCCGTTTCCCCCAGGCGGTGAGTCACACTGCTGGGAACTCCATGCCTTCTACATTACAACCATCACAGAGAGAGAGAGATGGAGCGAGAGAGGTGCAAGAGTATGTAGGTAAAAGATCACAGACAGATAGACCTACGCTGGGACCAAAACAAGGACAAAGAGGAAATTAAAGTCCATAACACAATTTGGAAGTTACAATGTGATGCTTTTTTGGTTTTGTATAAGTTGGAGGGAGGAGACTGACTATTTGACAAAGATTTGAAACTTCCCGGCATACAATAGGTTTAAACATGATGCAACTGGGGCAAAAAACTTGCAGAATCCGGTCTTTATCTTATTGGAAAAAAAGTATTATTTTGCATAAATAAGAAAGTATCCTCTGACTCTTTGGCCTGAGAACTGAGAGGGGTCATCTCCTTTTTACCTTTCAAAATCCAATCTAAATTGTAAAGCTAAAAATACAAACCGTTTAAAATAGGAACTACTGTAGTTAAATGGATTTTTGGGTGCACCGATATTACGACATAACAAACATTTCCAGCTTTGTATCAATACTTTCTCAATGAGTCTTTGGTTTTGAAGCTTACAACAAACCCAGATATGTGAAACATTTATTCTTGGACAACACTATTTTTTGCACGACCATTTTCCTGTCTTGATATTCTCTACATCTAAAAACTCTCACAGTGTCTCATCTACACATTAATTTCAAATTTTCAATTTTAAAGCTCAACTCCAAACCGTTCCCTGAGTAAGACCTCAACAAACATGTTCAGAAATGCATGTAATTCACAGATGTATATTTTTTTCTGTATGGAAGCCCAAAGATGGAAGCAAAAAAAGGATTTGAGAGTTATGTTTGACTTCAAATGCAAATGTACAAATGTACTTGCTCCTGCAGACTCAAATGTTCTACTCTTGTACTATTAAAACAAAATCCAAATTGTTCAGCCATGGTAGGAAATTAGTTATATCAAAATTGTCAGACCTTTGACATCAGTGTTCTAGCATCACTTGGAGGAGTTTGTTTGCATTTGCATGATGTACGGTGTCCTCCCAATCCCACCAGCAGCTGTGAGAGGCAGGGATAATAAACAACAAGGGCCACTCACTCCTCACTTCCACAATTAAACCCCAGGCACAAGTAACTCCAGACACAATGACTTTAACAAGGCACACTTTGAGCTCATAGGGGAAAATATAGCAAAGAGTAGAATATACAAAGACATGCTTTCTTGATTACTACTGTTGGACTGTTGCGCACAGGCTTGATGAAGGAGGCCACGAAAAGGGAAAGATGTCCTGATTCAGCTATGATCTCAATACAATCATCAGGACAAAACTGCATTGTTCAGCCCATCACTATGCTGCTTTAACAAGGCTGTCAAAGTGTTTGCCCAGGTGGATTTACACTACAGGTGCCAAGTTAGGTCCACCACTCTACCAGGAAAATCAAAAACACATTCAAACTTCTGCTAACTATATCAAGATAGGGTTTTAAAAGCTTGCATTGTACCAAACAAAAAACTAATAAAGGTAAGTGTTTAAAATCAATATATAATGTTTTCCTTTTTCTTACGACAGAAATAATCTGACGACCATTTTCCTGTCTTGATATTCTCTACATCTAAAAACTCTCACAGTGTCTCATCTACACATTAATTTCAAATTTTCAATTTTAAAGCTCAACTCCAATTTTAAAGCTCAACTTAGTCGTCTTGGCATTATAATTTGTATACACATAATACCTATTTTACCCAAATTAGAAACAAACTGAAGCGCTTTGTGGCCTTGGTTTGGGAAAGGCGCAGTATAAATAAAGCTTACTTACTGAACTCTATGCTCAGTTCATGCCAGCCTTTCCTTAGTGATAATAAAATGTGTCACAGACTTGATACAAAGTTTGCCAAAATTTTTAAGAGGGGGAAATAACAAAGACAAGACATGCACTTCCTCGTCTGAATTTGCAACAAAAAAGCCAGAATATACAGTATAAAGTGTACGGGTACAGATCAGATAGTGGTGTAAAGTAGTCATGTTGTCTGCATTGTAAAAACATGAAGCGATAGATGATAGGATCTGCAGATCCCATGTGTCACTCTATTTCATTCAATAGAGCACTGACACAATTCTGATATGGCATGAATCTTCAAGAGAAAACAAAAATATGTTCTACTGTATTCAACTTACTTATGAAAACCCTTTCAGAAACCATGATAAACTAGTAAAAATATTTGAGCCTGTTTGAGTCACATCCAGCAGTTTACTTGAGATGATGGGGCAGATATGGGCTGATTTACAGTGTGCCGCCATCATTTGGTTTCAGAGTTTGTTGACTTTTGAACACTTGTGTTTGTGTGTATGAGGCCTGCGCGAGTCCCACAAGATTCTTCAGATCTGATTAAAATGCAGATTAACATCAAAGTCCGGATGTTTGGCTGGTTCAAAGTCAAGATTTAATTTGCTATATTTCTTAGTATTACAATGTCTTTACTGTACTATGTACAAAAGCGATGCATTTCTTTTGTCATTTAGTGATTGAGTATGAATCATTGTATTCACATACTCAAGTCATTAGATCATGTTAGGTTTCTCTCTGTTTACAGTTGTGTTTGTATGAAACATACATAGATAGATTGTGTCAATTAAGTGATGTACAGTGTATAGTGGACAATTTTGTACAACCGTTTTTCATTCAGGAGCTGAGAAATCACTTCTGAAACCCATTTTTCAAAAAAACTGTTTCCGTTCCATGGAAGGACTTTGACAAACCCATTGTAAATGAGGTCTCTCGTGGTGTGTTAACACTTGTCATACAGAAACACTATCCGTTTGGCTTCAGCTGATATCAGTCCCTTGCCAAATCAGATATGACGGCCACCTATGCTTAAACGTTTCCATTTAACTTGCTTTGAGGGTGCCAACACTGCATGAAGACAACAAACAAGTAGAAACAGAAAATAATAGAAGAGATGTTTTGATTGGATTCATCCATCCATCTTCTTCCCCTTAATCCATTTCTGGAGAGCTGCACCCAGTACACATGATTGGATTCTAATATAATAATTCAAAAGAACTACTTTCAAAAAAGGGACAAAAATAACAAACAAATGGGTTGTCGATACAAATTAGATACTACAAGTTTAGAGTGGAGCGTGGAGCTTGAGGGACATTTAGTAGTCTGCAAGTAACCCTCTCATCATTTAAACAGACAAGCCTTTTCATTTTGTATGGCAAGTCCAGGAAAAAGAGTCACCGCACAAGAGACACAAAGAGCTGGTTCCCTGAAGGCGACAAGCAGGTCAGAGATGTTCAAATTCCTAAATGCAATGATTTCTATAAGTCATTTGCCAAAATGATTGTCTTTATGAGAATGACGTGCTTAAGTGCTGAGAGAGAGCATCGTAACTCTGTTTGGACGACATGAGTACAAACTGTGCTTTCCCAATAATTACGCTAAAACAAAATGGTCCAACCTTGCCTCAATCCCATTATGTGTGCTCTTTTGTCCAGCCCACAAAGGAAAATACAGAAATGTATTAATTAATTAAACTGTATTTAAAAATTGCTCCAAGTTTGTTTTAAACAATACAGTTAATTGTATAATAATATTGCATTTCACTACAATGCATTGCGATAAAATTATTATTTTCAATTCGATTGATTCCTGAATTATTTAAATTGATTGGTTAGTCCTTTTGAACAAAAATGTATTTGTATTTTGAGCAGATAAAGTGCTCCTTTTTAGAATGTTGTTTGTGTTCAACAGTGAATATACTTCAAAATGACAAAATAAAGTACATCTTCCATTCCAAGCAGGGGTAACCAATTTTATTGTTTCATAAATACTATGTTTCATTTGTCCTTTTGTGTTACCTTTTGCATAATTGCTGGAAAGAACACAGAGTGTCACTGATCGCCACTTTAGGCTGAGAGCTGATTGAAGGTGGTCCATCCAGTTTCACTTCTTTGTCTGAAAAAGGAGATCTAAAGATGACAGGGCACAACATTTTAATATGCATGTGAAAACTCAATAAAACCACATGGCTTTGCTAGGATCACATGGTCAATTGTTTTTGTAGTTAGCAAATTAGGTATACACTTGGTCTGTAAATGAAAAACACTTGGGACAAACCTAGCTGGGCGGATGTGTCTTTTTTATATTGAGTACTTTTTTAATCCAGCACACTCGATCAGGCCATTGGGATGTGTGGCCTTACTTGAAACAAGGTACCCCAGCTTTCATCATAAAACCTCTTTCAAAACACGTGTAATTAAGAGTCCATTAAATTAGATGCAATTAAACCAAGAGTGGCTTTTTTCAATCACGATTTTATCTGGCAACCCACGAATGACAAACATCTTATATTGACAAACGCAAGCATCCCAAACCAAGACTCCCCTCTCCAAATAACCCCCCTATGGCTCCTTGGCATTAATGAAGCAGATGCTATCAAAGGTGTGACTATGCCGAGATGAAGACGCGCTTTAGATCCGTGTTCTCGCTTGACAAACAGAGTGTCGTCAGTGAAGCTCCCATGGTAAATACGAACACCTGCGGAGTCAGCGGGCATCAACACGACCAGAAGCCCCAGCGGCACTGGCCACAGCAGCTGCAGAATCACTCCACAGTCTTCTCAGGGCTGGATTTGGCAAAGTGTTCCCTTCTGATGTGGGACGACCGGTTTAGATGAAATAAATCACCAAAGTCGTACGCCAAAAAGCTTGAATGTTTGGTTCAGTTAGTGGCTGTTTTCAAAGTTTGCGTCGGGCACAATGGTTGGTCTGTGTGCTGAACTAGTTGAGAGACTTTTTACTGGTCATATTCAAAGTTGTGTCGAAATGTTGGCAAGGTAGCTTCATCTTCCACCAATGATGCCTCACTGCTTTTTGGAACTATATGGTAAGGATGATTGAAATGTTTTATATTTTTATTTACGGGCAATATTTAGTAATTTAGCCAAAATGAACTGATCTGCTTAGAAATAAAGCAAGATTTTTATCAAACACAAATACCTATATGTGTTTTCAATGCATTTGTTGAACCTCTCTCAAGACCTGAACTGAAATATATTTTCTAGACTGATTGCAACAATTTTATATATATATATATATATATACAAAAATTTAAAAAACAGGGTAGAGAGGTTGAGGACGTTATTTAATCCAGACTTCCATTGAACGCCTGATATGTTTGGCTCCTGAAAATGTTTTAAATATATATTCCCCAGACACTACTGTATCTAAAACAAGCTTGAGCAGTTGCCGTAAAAAGCAGTAGATCAAGAAAACATGCACTCAATTCGTGTCAGACAAAAGAACAACAACGTCAAGGAGAGCAGGTGTCGGCTGAAAGCTATATTTCATTGTTCACCTCTTGTAAAATAATATGAGCTGGAATGAATCGCCCATATGAAATTCTAGAGTGAAAACATATTTATGAAGTGTCACGGTAAGGTTAAGGGCAGCAAGAAATATCGCAATTGAAACAAAAGTACACAAAAATGCAATTATTTATCTGAAATTATTTCCTCCACAAACATTTTTTTTTTTTAAAAACCTTCAAATCCTGCAGGTTAATAAAAAGCTGGTAAAATGTAAGCCTGTGCTTGAATATACTGCAACACCCGGAGAACCACCTTCAGATCTTTTAGCTCGGCTTGGTCAACACTAGTCTGGTCCAGGTTTTAGATGGTGGGGGAAACCAGAGCGCCCGGAGGAAACCCACCCAGACACAGGGAAAAAGACTGCACACAGAATGGCCCAGGTCAACACAAGAATCTGCCCCCTGTATGTGCAAGTAGAAGATTTTAAAACAAACTTCTATAAATGGAAGATAGATGAAACAATATTGTTGTATTTTTGTTGAAATGGTTGAGCCTTCTGTAGAGAACCAAAAGCACATATTCATGGTAAGGCAAGATTCATATAATTGCCTTGTGCCTTGTGAATGAACAGTGCAATACAAATAATGTTTGCACTGTTCATTCACAAGGCACCTCAATGTGCTTATCAAAACAAGATCATCACAATCATACATGGCATACAATTATATGAAAACTGTATTGAATTGCTTATATAGTGTATTGAATTGACTCGAAAGTGTCCTGTATTATGTGTTGTGTCATGGTTTACATTTTAAGGAACTTTTTATCAGCAAACTCTAAAAAGATACCCTTAACTGTAAATACGGTTCATGTTTCAGTCAAATTTGAATTTGGCATGGCACCTTCCAACATTCTTAACTATAATAAGAAAAATAGCAAATTAAACGTGAAGAAAAAATAACGGACGCATTGCTTGAACAATTTTGAAAATAAAAAAACATCTTCCATGATGATGATTAGACTGATATAGACAATGTACTACACCTAATTTGAAACAGGCCTCATCATTGTGGTATATCTCATTCTTTCCATAATCAAACTCTCCATCAAGTCTTGGTTTTAAGAGCGCTTTACTAATATACGGCGCTGAGATTTTTTCCAGATTCATAACTGCAAGTGGCTGGCAAGTCTTAAACTTTTATGTAAAACAGATGTAGCAGCACACATTGGATTGTTGGCGAAGGATTTCATAAGTTAAAATGCAAAGCTCCACAGAGTAGAAAAATGGCCTCCAGTAAAGTAGTCGCTCACTTTTGAACCTCGATCTTAAAGTTAACCAGGTTTTCTTACCACATGTCCACATGAAAACTCAACCTTTTGGCTTTTCTGGGAAGAGGTTAGCTCAGTGTTTGTGCTTTTTGGAGAACGCATCAGAAGTGTAAATCAACCACAAAATCCAAAGGCGATTTTACAGGTGAAATAAATATATTTACAGTCTGTACTAAATCAAATGTGGTCTGGGGAGTCATCTGAGCTTCAGCTTTTTTAAATGGCTGACCATTATTTTATAACAAAGTCATTGTTTATTGAGTGGATATAAATGGTTTAACCTGCAATATTGGTCTATAGATGTTGTGGAAATGTACACAATTAACATGCACAATAATAAAACTAAACATGCGTATCATAACCGATATACTGTTACCAATAACCATGGTTTACAAAAACATTTTTATACAAAGTAAAAGCTCTCCAAATTTGTAAACAGAATTAATGCTGGTTATCTTATTATGCAAAGTTATCTTAAAGTGATCATTGCCAGAGACAGTGGTTTACACAAACCGCATGATTTTAAGTAATATTGTCTAGCATTTCCAAACCGACTCCATTTATCTCTGGCCTGGAGATGCCTTTAAGCGTGTAAAATAAACAGGAGCCTGGCGACATGAAAAGTACTCCCCTAATTAGGGCCCCATGGCTGAAGATGAGTTTAATATCAATAGCTGGCTCTTTCTACATTTGTGTCTTGCAAATTTGAAAGTTTAAGTATGGCCTCAGACCTGGCAGCTTGGTTTCTTGGATCGGCCTTGTCTTTAATTTAAAGTTGATTGCCATGCGCCCTGTGTGAGTGACTATAGTGAAATATGAGAGAGGAGAACGGAGGCTTGGACTTTGGCTGCGTGATTATATGAGCATGTGCTCTACGGAATAATAGACGGTCCGAATTTCAGCTTGTCTGAGCAGTTTGCACATGCAGACATGCAGAGGTCCCTGCGGAGCCCGGGCGTCCTTGTGCGCATGTGGTTTTTGGCACAAGTTAGCGCTGAAATTTGGCCTGCCAGCACGGGTCGTCAACTGGGAATCGAGAAAAGCAGAAGGCAAACTGTATAGAAGTACCTTTCTCCAAGTCGGGCGAGGTGTGAGGAGGTGAAAAGCACAGAAGGCAGTTTTACTTACGGAAATCTAATGGAATTAATGTCAACAAACAATTTTAGTACATAGTAATGAGATAAAAGTTTGACTTATGAGGAGTTCGTTGGGAGTTGTTTATTTATGCTCAACAGGCAAAGAAGTGGAATGTATAGTGTTTTAAAAGTGTATAATGTTCAATCAAGACCCAACGAAAGTGAAAGCTGAACAAGATTAAGAATACGGCTTTAATTAACGATGATTTTCATAGCCGATTAGTTAGGCGATTATACAATTAATTAGATTAGATTAGATTTTTTTCTTCATCCAAAACAACCCGAAGTGATTCCGCCCGAGATTGTCTTAATAGAAACGAGTAGTAACAAAATATTTTGTTTAAAGAGGCTATATGGAAGTTTCACCACTTATAAAACTATACAGAATTAAAATTTCTTCCACATACATTCTCCAGCAATGCCTTGGTGTGTAGAATGAGCCCTGGCATTTTCATTGCTATTGCCTCTATATGCCTATAAACATGTCTTTATATGCTTGGAATTTGAGGATTCGGGTCGAAACCATCCAGGGCAGCGTGATGCGTAATGACGTCATGCGCGTTCACGCTAAGCTGTAGCAGCGCTGGCTACTTGTGTTATTAGTGCATCTGCAGAGCGAGAGGTGACTGTGGGAGGATGGATACAGCGAAGAACAACAAGAGACCGGCTTCAAGCAGCGCCGAAACTCCAGGAAAGACCCAAACTAAAGTAAAGAAACAGAAAATTATTTCTAGTGTGACCAAAAGGGCGAAACTCGAGTCTGACCGCCGTAGGCAACAAACGAGGGTAAACATTGGAGTTGCTTTTGAGAGGTGGAAAACTCTGAGAGAACTTCTGGGCATGAGAAAAGACCCACAGTTGGCATCATTTCTGCTTGAAAGGTAAGACATTATTTCTAAACACATGTGTTTATGCTTTCAAAGCAGCTGTGTCCGTGCATTGAAAGGCTACGTAGCGAAATACTTTTTTTTTGTCTACATCTAAGTTTTTATTTGTGGAAAGTGCTCAGAGTGAGAGAATGATGGGTCATTTTCTAAATACTATCTGTAATACGCATTTCTAGCAAGATCTCTGCGTCAAACTAACACACTAGCTAGCATTAGCTGGCAAAGCCCAGTGAACTGCGGTTTGTTTACAAACGGGGCTTTTTCTAGAACTACACCACCTTACGAACGTTTTCCCTTTTAAATGTATGTACATTGCAGTCGCAATAGTAACTAGTTAGTTGTTGAGCGTGTAGAGTCTTCGAAACATACGCGTGTTATTGTAATTGTCTCACTGCTATACTTGATATTGCCATCGCTAGCAGTAACAATGGCTCTATTGTTGTAGTTACGAGAGGCACTCTCTATCAAAGGGACCACTCACGTCCACACCCAATGGCCCATCAGCAGAGGTGTTGATGGGGCCCCATCCCCCCAGTTCAGTGACTGCAGGCGAATCTGATAGGTAAGTTTGCCAAATGCAACTTCTGCTTACAGGTTACCACTCATCCACCGTCAACTAAAAAGTATTTTCTCCTATAGGGAAGACTTTCACATTGCAGGAGTTGAACCTCTGACAGCAGATACAAGGTTACAATCGTTAAAGGAAAGGTAAACATGCATGAATTTTAACATTTGATGAATACTGTTTTTTGTAATGAATGTAAATTGTCTTATTGTGAAGCAGCAAATCAATGGAGCTGAAGGAAGAGGCTTTGAATGAGGAGCAAGCCAACAATCTGGAAAACAGTGTGTACGTTATTCTCAATGTAATTCAATGTGTATGTGTTGGTTCATAATTTACATATTGGGCTGTTCTTTTTTAATTCCAGAATAGAGTTTGAGGGGGGTGGAGTTTCAGACCCGTATGATTCAGATTATGTGCCACCAATCTCATTACGGTATGTATTTTTTTTCT